ACCCCACGTTTGCCACTTGGTTTTGATTTTTCCCTGCAATGAATTTCTCTCGTGACTTCCCTACTACAGTAAATGGCAAATGCAGTCTATCACTCCTTCGGTCCTCAAAGCTTGGGGTCATCCTTGAGAGTTCTTTTACTTTTTTTTAAATACACTTTAAGTTCTTGGGTACATGTGCAGATCATCCTACATGCCATATCTAGTCCCTCACTGAGCCCTGTCAATTCTATTTTCAAATACCTATCCTGAATTGAATTCCTTTTTATCACCATCCCTGCTCCCATGCTATTTCACAGCACCATTCTATGCTATGCAGAATTTGTAACAAGCTGTTAAATAGTCTCTGTAGAATCGTTCTTGCCCCATTGCAGACTAATTTACATAATATAGACAAAAGTGTCATTAACGTATGTCAGACCATACACCTTTATTTTACAATGCTTCAAACAGCTTTCGTTTTACCTGAAGATTAATTTTCAGTGTCCTATATGACCTGACCCGGTACTACCTCTTAGACCCCTTCTTGTAACACTCACACTCAGATCAGACTCTGATCCAGCCACACTCAGTTTCTTGCTCTTCTTCCGCTTCCCCAAGCAAGGTCCTGTATTAACTTTGCACATTTATTTCTCTCTGCTAGACCCACTTATCTCAGGGGCTTTGGTTAACTCTCTGCTTCAATTTTACTCTTAAGAAAGGCTTTTATATGACCACTTATACTCTTTACCCTTTATTCTGCTTTATTTATATTCTTTATGTCATGAACCATATGACATAGTTTATATTCCTTTATTTTGTTGTCCTTTTCATCCCTTCTGCAGTCCTAAAATATAAGGTCCATGAGGGTAACAACTTGATCAATTCTGTTCAACGTCTTTTACTCCAGAGCCCAAAATTTCTTGAACATAGTAGATGTGCAATAAATATTTGAAAATTAATAAATAATTTAAAATGAACCTCAGTTTGGGAAAAAGAGAGAAAATTTGTATCTGAAAGCCTTGTTCTTACCTGTGTCAGCACTGTGGTGTCACCACACTTATGTGTGGTGCTGAGCTGACTTCTACACATAACACAGATTCAGATAGTGAGCCGAGGCTACTACTGTCCCTGGCAACTATCCATAGAATGTCAGCAAAGTACAGTGTGAGCCAGCTTGGTGTCTGTGTGTAATATTAGCCCATATTTCTCCTTTGAGAAAGAGGAAACACATCCACATAAAGCAAATGAGGTGAAAAAAAGGCTGACAATGAGTTATAAATTAAATTAATGTCATTCTCATTGGTATATGTTTAGAGAGAGAAAGGATGTTAGGCTGGCACTAAATTAGGTCCTTTCAGGTATTTTTTAAAATGTATGGCTGGGCGTGGTGGCTCACACCTGTAATCCCAGCACTTTGGGAACCCGAGGTGGGTGGATCTCCTGAAGTCAGGAGCTCGAGATCTGCCTGGCCAACACAGCAAAACCCCATCTGTACTAAAAATACAAAAGTTAGCCAGGCACGGTGGCATGCACTGGTAGTCCCTGCTACTTGGGAGGCTGATGCAGGAGAATTGCTTGAACCTGGGAAGCAGAGATTTCAGTGAGCCGAGATCATGTCACTGCACTCCAGCCTGGGTGACAGAGTGAGACTGTCTCAAAAAAAAAAAAAAAATTAGAATTCTGGAATTCTCTCTGAATACTTTTCTAGAGAGACTGCATGCATCTATACTAATCTTCTTTTCTAAACCCAAATATGAGCCATACAATTTGACGCATATAAATTTACTTACGAGAACACCAGGACAAAACATAAAAATTGTCACTGGCTTAAAAATTGTGGGGTATTTAGGTACAGTATGTAGGCCTCTGAAATGACATTGAGAATATTAAGTGGATGAATGACCAGACAAAAGAACATGCAGGTGCAGTACAGATGGGAGATACACATTCAAAGAGAAGACAGCTGAGCCATTTCAGTGTGAGGAACAAAGAGTATCAGTGACACACCCAGCTTCAGGGATGATACTGACAAGCACGAATGGTTTCAGTATTGACGCATAATGGAGTAAATAAATATTCACTACCTCAAAGAAGTCATGGTAGAAAGATAGGAACAGAAATAGAGATTTACCAGAAGAGTTGGGCTTCTTTCCCTTATACCCAACTAACTTAGGGATTATGCAGTTTTGGCACCATGTAAACTATAATTCATCAAAAATCATTTCAATCATTATCATGTATACCAGCAGCAGATATAAATGTGCCAAACACAGTGTACTTATGCTCAACATCACATTCCACCTCACCTCCTTCATAGCAATGTACTTTTATGTCTCACAGCTTTGTGCATCTGAGGCTCTGTATGCAAAGCTGTGATTTTTCTATTCTAAAGTCTCTCTCTCTCTCTCTCTCTCTCTCTCTCTAACATTAGAAGGCAACAAAGGAGAATATAGATTAGAGATTTGAGGATAACATATACTTTAAACGTTTTTATAAAGGACTGATTAAATACTGACTTCAAAGATGAAACAAATTGTATTGTGAAATCTTCAAATTGTAAGGCTGAAGATTCCAAATCCTTTATTTTACATATGAAGGATTTAGGGCAAAGGGGCTTCACAGACTGCCTACTATAACACAGAGAGTTAGTAGAAAAGCTGGGATGAAACCCAGCAGAGTGTGCCATTTATTTCACCAGTTCTCAATCTTGGCCTCTTTTCTACTACAATCATTTTACAAACAAAACAAAATACAACAAAACAAATGCCCGCTTGATGAAGCAAAAATTTTAAAGTTTATGTTCTTAGGTCTTCCATTAGTACGTTTTTCAAAAACAGGAGAAATATTGCTTTCAGAAGATTTTAAAGACTTAAATTGCAGAAATACTTCAGAGGAATCATTAAGCAGTCTTCCTAAAGTCTGAACCAACACTGTCCAGGGTTTATTTATGATTTTAAAGGTCACTGGGAAAGGCGCAAAGTGTGTGTTGAAGGGTCTAGACTTTTCCCTCACTGTGGCTTTTAGCATACCAGTTATTTGTTTAGGGAATGGAAATACCTCTCTGGTTTCATAGAGCCTAGGTTACAATCCAGCATCAGTAGAGGTAGACTTTTTCTTTATTTGTATGGAATATGTAATTGCACATTTTTCTGATAAATAATATCATTACCTCAATAATTCATCAGCAGTTTTACAAAGAAACCCTAGAAAGTTGTAAGGTGTCCAATTTGTTAATCTTAAATGAACTATGTTTCAAATGCAAATTCATGCTGTATGGTTCTTATAAATCTTATTATTTCAAGCGATGGTCTTAATCCAAAAAATGTAACAAGTAAAAGTGGTTTAAATCTAGATTCATCTTTGTCACTGGTGACAATAATTTTTTTATGAAATACGTTTTTTGGGAAAAAGAGAGATACCATTTACTAACAAGATTCATATGTATTTAGAGATCATATGCAAAATCCAGGAGGGCTTAATTTCCAAAAGCCAAGGGCTATTTTCTATTCATCATTGAATCCACTGCACTTAAAACATAAGGTTAAATAGTAAAACTTGGCAATATTTACTTAGCATTTACTGCATGCTATGAGCTTTAATTATATACTGTTACATTTTCAAACCTAGTTATTTGAAAATATCATTATAATCCCCATTTTATATGAGAATAAACGGAGGTTTAAGAACATAAACTAACTTAAGATGGCCACAATGACACTGGATTTGTAGATAAAGGAGTTAGATCTCAGCATTTGTCATATAAACCCACTTCATGCTTTTATTCTCAAAAATGTTTGCTAAGGTCGAAAAAAAAAAAGGGCAACATCATCTGGAAGAGTTTCTGACCACATGACTGCATCTTTTTAAATTTGCTAATAAAGCTGTAATTCAGAGCTGATTTTAACCTGGAGAGTAAAAAAAAATTATTTTGTTTAAGGAATGAAAACACATCTCTGGCTTCATAGAGCCTATGTTACAATCCAGCATCAGTAGAAGCAGCTCTTCTCTCTACTTGTATGGAATATGTAATTGTATATTTTCCTGATAAATCTTTCCATTACTAATTAGTTCACCAGCAATTTTAGCAAGTGCCCTAGCAAGCTCTAAGGTGTCTAATGTGAAGGCTGTATTGCTCATGTCAGTTCACCATCAAGAAGCTATTTACTGCTCATTCTCTAAATAGCTACACATAGGGAATCACATCACTCCTGATGTGTAGAACCCTCTTGTTGTACCAATAGCTATCACCAACATCATTTCTTTTCTAATAAAACACATGAATCTTGTTGCTAAGCACTTACTCGCCTTGATTCCCATATTTGATCTTCTCTTTCAAAGAACACACAAACATACACACCTCTTACATACTATTTTCTAGACAACTTATGTATAGCTGGGGGAAAACTTATAACATGAGATAATCTTGACTAAGGCTATTCATTAATTCTTTTTACCAACAATGAAAAAAAAATTAGAGATGTATCTAAGTGGCAGCAGGTTTAGTTTGTATTGAGGTAGGGAATGGAGTATATTCTGTGCCAAAACTTTGAAATAAATTAATGAACAAAGCTTACTTAAGAAGTTCTTTTAAATCACGACACATCATTGGTTCCTGAAATTTTCATCTCATGATATTCATTCTTCACTCCCATCAACTTGAGAATGGCCATGATTAAGAAACACAAAATTTTGCTCGAAGTACATTTTTGAATCTCCTTAGCAACTCTTTCTTTCATAATCTCTGACCTGTAATTTTTCAGGAATCTGAGTAGGGAATTCCAATGATGTATAACTTAAAAACATTTGATAGCATTAAATTAAATGAGAAAATGGTTTGGTCATCCCATAATTTTCCAAAAGGTTCAAGAAGGTGAAACAGACACAACCCCAAGTAAAATTTTACATGTTGACATAGAAACACCAATGCAAAATCGAAACAGATTTCCACCTGAGAATTCAAGAAATATACTACCTTGCCCCAAACCGGTAAGAATCCGATTACCACAAGGATGGATAGTTACCCATGGCGAAGAACGGGATTCCCAGCAGGGTGGAGTTGTACTTTCCATCGGTGATGAAGAAGATCCCTGCTGCGGTGATGATGGAGATGCACACCGTGAGCACCCCCAGGAGGCCCAGGAAGGGCTTACTGCGCAAGCAGTCCTTCATGGAGCTGGAGAGGGTGGCTGTGGTCAGGATCAGCACGAGGCTCACCAGGACCTTGCTTCTGGCCAGGATGCTGATCTTATGAAAGTCTCTCCAGAGGCTAAAGGATGCTAAAGAGTAGAGCTGGAGGTCTTGATGCTCCTCCTGGAGCTTTCTCATAAGCTTACAGAACTCATTCTCCCACTTCTCCCCTATGAGGTCTTGGGTGGCAGAGCCATAGGTCTGGAGGTAGTAGGTGATTTGAATGGCTCTGGCCGACTTGACCCGCTGGTCTTTGCTGTTTGGCACTTCCACTACCCCGCCCAGTTGATGTCCAATAAAACTGTTCCTCCCATCCTTGAAAACAGAAAAAGAAGAGACTTCTGTTACCAAATGGATGCACATTCCAGGGAATAGATTCTTACTCTAAGTGAAGGAGCACAAGGAAGGCAGAGATAGGTGCTAGTAACTGTGAAACTGATGTGGGTGGAGAGGCAAGTTAGAATTTTATATTCAACATTTGGAGCTACATGGGATACCATGCATGATGACCAAGGACAGAGAATATGCAAAAAGTATTACAAAACTACGGAAGAATTTCCCACATGCTTAGAAAAATGTAGATAAATATTTTGATCTCACTTATATCCCAATTTCCAACATTTCCTTTTGTAACAATCCATTACAACTTCTTAATAAAGGATCAAGTTTTATGATTCAGTTTCAGCCAAAAGTAAAGATTGCCACAAACTAATAATATTTCAAGAGTTAAGATGATTATCTATTCTATAAACATAGACTAATCTTTCTAGAGTTAATTCATATACCTATGGAACACTCATACAAATATACACGAACATGAATATTCTTACATATTCTCTATATTCTGGGAATATAATTGTATATTGAAGAGCAGTACAAAAAATGCTGTTTTTTATAATTAATTTAATGGCACTGAAATGTTTCCTAAGTATAATGTGAATACATATCCAAACATTACAATGCTCCCTCCAAACACCTGCTTCAGACACAGGTGACCTTTTCTTATTGATTAGAGTAGACAAATCTCCCAAATGAGATTGATAAGAATTTCAGATTGAGTTGCCAAAAGTTAATTTATTTTCAGTGTTTGATATGAGGTAGAGTAGGCAAAATCATGATGGAAGGAAATTGGTAAGAGAAGGATATCATTCCTCTTTAAGGCACATGTATGTAGCCAAAGAGTTACTAAAACAAGTTGAGAACAGTAAATCTCATCCAGTGTGCCCCAACATGAAGAAAGAAATCTCGGAGAGCCGTCACTAAATTATCATTAATTTGGAAATGCTATTATTTCCACAGTTATCATTTATTTCAGTGGTAAAGGTTCTCAGAATACTAAAGCTGGTAGCAGGTTGCATGATAAAGTATAGCATTGAATTATGCACGAGTACCAGCTGAGAGGTAGGCACTAAGTTACATTTATGTCAAAAGTAGACTGTGTGTCAACTGGACCTGCCAAGATGTTTATCTAAAAAAGATATAAAATAGTAAAATCAGGGAAAGAAACAGTTCTTCCTAGAGTGCGTAGGGCAGAAGACAGTAAACCCAATAGTGTGATGACTCTGGTGTTTTCACTTAACTGGGAGGTATTATGTACTCTGGCAAACACATGTCATCATAACACAATTATTTTGGACTTGTTTAACACAGACACTTATATCCAAGGCACTTGTTTGTATTTGCATTTTTAACATGCACTAAAAAAACCCTAATACTTGAGAGTATGTTACAAACACAAAAAGTTTACAACATTTATGGAGAATAAAAATGCCATTAGTAGGATAACCAGGAATTCCAAGAAAGAATTTTTTTTATTTTATTATACTTTAAGTTGTAGGATACATGTGCAGAAGGTGCAGGTTTGTCATAGGTATACATAGGTGATGGTGGTTTGCTGTACCCATCAACCTGTCATCTACATTAGGTATTTCTCTGAATGCTATCCCTTCTATAGTCCCCCACACCCGGCGTGTGATGTTCACGCCTGGGGGTACATGTGTTCTGATTGTTCAACACCCACTTATGAGTGATACCATGTGGTTTTTGGTTTTCTGTTCCTGTGTCAGTTTACTGAGAAGGATGGTTTCCAGCTTCATCTATGTGCCTGCAAAGGATATAAACTCATCCTTTTTTATGGCTGCATAGTAATCCATGGGGTATATGTGCCATGTTTTCTTTATTCAGTCTATCATTGATGGGTTTTTGGGTTGGTTCCAAGTCTTTGCTATTGTGAACAGTGCCACAATAAACATACATGTGCATTTATCTTTATAGTAGAATGTTTCATAATCCTTGAATATATACCCAGTAATGGGATTGCTGGGTCAAATGGTATTTCTGGTTCTAGATCTGTGAGGAATCACCACACTGTCTTTCACAATGGTTGAACTAATTTACATTCCCACTAACAGTGTAAAAACATTCCTATTTCTCCATATCCTCTCCATCCTTTCCTGACTTTTTAATGATCACTATTCTAATTGGCATGAGATAGTATCTCATTGTGGTTTTGATTTGCATTTTTCTAATGACAGTGATGATGAGCTTTTTTTCATATGTTCGTTGTCCATAAAAATGTCTTCTTTTGAGAAGTGTCTGTTCATATACTTTGCCCATTTGTCGATGGGGTTGTTTTTTCCTTGTGTATTTCCTTAAGTTTCTTGTAGATTCCGGATATTAGCCTTTTGTTAGATGAGTAGATTGCAAAAGTTTTCTCCCATTCTGTAGGTTGCTTGTTCACTCTGATGGTAGTTTCTTTTGTGGTACAGAAGCTCTTTAGTTTAATTTGATCCTATCTGTCAATTTTGGCTTTTGTTGCCATTGCTTTTGGTGTTTTAGTCATGAAGTCTTTGCCCATGCCTATGTCCTAAATGGTATTGCCTAGGTTTTCTTCTAGGTTTTTTTATGGTTTTAGGTCTTACATTTAAGTCTTTAATCCATCTTGAGTTAATTTTTGTATAAGGTGTAAGGAAGGGATCCAGTTTCAGTTTTCTGCTATGGCTAGCCAGTCTTCCCAACACCATTATTTAATAGGGAATTCTTTCCCCATTGCTTGTTTTTGTCAGGTTTGTCAAAGATCAGATGGTTGTAGATGTGTGGTGTTATGTAGATGTGTGGTGTTATGTTTGAGGCCTCTGTTCTGTTCCATTGGTTTATATATCTGTTTTGGTACCAGTACCATGCTGTTTGGTTACTGCAGCCTTGTAGTATAGTTTGAAGTCAGGTAGCGAGATGGCTCCAGCTTTGTTCTTTTTGTTTAGGATTGTCTTGGCTATACAGGCCCTTTTTTGTTTCCATGTGAAACTTAAAGTAGTTTTTTTTCCCCTAATTCTGTGAAGAAGGTCAATGGTAGCTTGATGGGGATAGCATTGAATGTATAAATTACTTTGGGCAGTATGGCCATTTTAATGATATTGATTCTTCCTATCCACAAGCATGAAATGTTTTTTTTTTTTCATTTGTTTCTGTTCTATTTTATTTCCTTGAGCAGTGGTTTGTAGTTGTCCTTGAAGACGTCTTTCACATCCCTTGTAAGTTGCAATACTAGTTATTTTATTCTCTTTTAGCGATTATGAATGGGAGTTCACTCATGATATGGCTCTCTGTTTACCTATTATTGGTGTATAGGAATGCTTGTGATTTTTGCACACTGATTTTGTATCCTGAGACTTTGCTAAAGTTGCTTATCAGCTTATGAAGAGTTGGGGCTGAGATGATGGGGTTTTCTAAATATAGAATCATGTCATCTGCAAACATAGACAATTTGACTTCCTTTTTTCTGTTTGAATACCTTCTATTTCTTTCCCTTACATGATTGCCTGGCCAGAACTTCCAATACTATGTTGAATAGGAGTGGTGAGAGAGAGCATCCTTGTCTTCTGCCAGTTTCCATAGGGAATGCTTCCAGCTTTTGCCCATTCAATATGATATAAGCTGTGGGTTTGTCATGAATAGCTCTTATTATTTAGAGAAACATTCCATCAATACTTAGTTTATTGAGAGTTTTTAGCATGAAGGGGTGCTGAATTTTATCGAAGGCCTTTTCTGCGTCTGTTGAGATAATCATGCAGTTTTTTCATTGGTTCTGTTTATGTTATGGATTACATTTATTGATTTGTGTATGTTGAACCAGCCTTGCATCCCACGGAAGAAGCTGACTTGATCATGGTGGATAAGCTTTTTGATGTGCTGCTGGATTCGGTTTGCCAGTATCTTACTGAGGATTTTTGCATTGCTGTTCATCATGGATATTGGCCTGAAATTTCCTTTTTTTCTTGTGCCTCTGCCAGGTTTTGATATCAGGATGATGCTGGCTTCATAAAATTAGTTAGGGAGGAGTCCTTTTTACCTTGTTTGGAATAGTTTCAGAAAGAATGGGACCATCTCCTCTTTGTACCTCTGGTAGAATTTGGCTGTGAATCTGTCTGGTGCTGGGCTTTTTGCTTTTTTTTTTTTTTTTTTGATTGGTAGGCTATTAATTACTGCCTCAATTTCAGAACAAGAGAGGAATTCATAGTTACTCCATTTCCTCCCTACATACTAAATGAGTACAATCATTTTATTTATCTCAACCTGACCAACTCTAAAGAAACAATCCAATAAGAATTTGAGGTTTTTTTTTCAGAGTGTCTCCCTCTTCCATGTCGCCTTCATAATTTTTCCAATTTTTTCCTTTTAAGAATCAAATGAAAATCATGGCTGTGGGTTCCCAAGGCTCTCTCTTGATTAAATCTCATGGGATGTTATCATGATCTGCAAGTAGAAAGGGAGGCACACTTTGAGAAAGGAGGCGGGAATCTCATCCCAGAACTGAGAAATTGCCGAATACAATTTCTACTCTTTAAGTAGGCACAAATTTCTTCCCAATTAGACTAAATTTATTTTTGTTTTAAGCTTGGTGTAATTTTTAGGTCTACCCTTGTTTCTATGCCTTTGAAATTCCACCTTTGATGTGGACTTGTACTTTTGATTATTTGAAAGAGAAAGTATTTTAAAAGCACTATCTATTACCTTAAGAATGTGTAGATGTCTGTCTTTACTTATTTCTGTCATCAAAAAGATTTCTCAGGGATCTTTAGCAGCAAAATGAATTATGCATCTCTGGGGCCTCAATTGGATATTATAGTGAATAAAAGAGTGTTCTGATAATGTAGCTGGACAAAAGACAAAATTTTAAAGAAGGCTAATATTATTTTTAAACGACAGATTTTCATTGAGTTTGGCTAGCTGCTAACCCCTCATTTGAAGTTGTCTAATTCTCATTTTTACAAAAAAAGTTTGTAAAAGATATGCTTCTATCTATCTTTTTCCATTAT